TTAGCTCTGTAAGTTCACGCCAACAGTATAACTGATTGTTAGGATATATTTTAGATTCTGAACAAATTATTTTCGATTTCTTGGACACTTTTGGACAACTTTATGTTGGAGGTTTTTGTCACCAGTAGATAAATTTAAAAATGCAACTAGTTGTTGTTCTGACATGTTTTTTAGGCCAACTACTTATTAATTACCTTCACATTTTCTTTTTTATTTGTTGTTATTATGATAATTAAATTATTAAATTGGTGTTTCATAATTAATATTTTGTCAAACAGTATGTACTTTAGAACTTATATAATTTTCTAGAAACAAGAGTATTTCTTCAATTATGCTTTAATTTATTAATGCGTCGGGTTAGTGATTTAAATATATAAAGAGTATAGTTCTTAAGTTCTTATCAATTCCTATAAGACATTAATTTTAAAATGTTTTTATTTATCATTTTAAACAACATAAGAATAAAATATATTGCACGAATCTTTTGAATTTAACGAATATTTGGTAGTATTATATTTTTAATTTTATAAGACTCAAAGTTCGTTCTATAAAGCCGAATCATTTCATATTCTGTTAAGGTCACACATCTTCTGAACCATTTATCCGTGGACCTATTATCCTACAAAATTATAGTACTCAAAATTTAATAACCCAAAAACTACTCGTTCAAATTTCAATTCAAATACATCGCCGTTTTCAAAAAAAGTCACATAATCGACCACTTACCAAAAATGAAGAGCGGTTGCAAAAAAAAAAAAAACGACGGTGACACGCACCGTATAAAATTATAATATTATAATCTATTATAGTATAATAAAATGCGTTGCATAATTTATAAAAATATTAATGCGATAACGCGGTTTAAATATTTATCCGCCGGCTACAGAGCACAGAAGATATAAAATATTATTATTATTGTTATTATACATCGACAATGATCATAGGTATTAAGTTTAGTGACGGCGAACGACAGTTGTAATTGCGCTCTTTTATATTTTACTGCGTGTGAAAACAACTGCGGTCGTAAATTTGATTAGTGCTCATTATAATATACGACATAATGAGTTTTCTGGCAAAATCTCTCTGCGATAGCATTGTTATATTGTTATCACGACTACAATAATAATTATAATGCACTGCCCGCGATCTGGTAGGTACCTATACCTATATATTATTGTTATAACGGCCGTGTGTTGTAGTATACATACAGTGTCGCAATAATATAGCGCGTGCATTATATTATGATAATAATAATATTATTATACAACAATAAATATCGCACTGTGGATATTATATTTACGCATATTATTATAATATTATTCATCCTCGGACGGGCCGAGCTCGCTGGTGTGTATTGGGAAAGCCTTCGCCACTCGGCAATAAACATTTTGGACGTTTCGGCGGACCGCACCACCCGTTTGGCATTAAATTATTATTATTATTGTTCACGCGTATCGTGTGCGTATAATGTTACCCACACACGAATATTATTATTATTATTATTACAAACGAATGTTGTTATATCCGCGTGCAAACGTTACACGAAGCGCCGCACAGATTTACCGATGTTTATCAACGGTATATTGTGTATTATTGCTATTGTAATAATAATAATAATAATAATGACAAAATATAATACATAATAATAATAATATATACGTACGAGCGAAAACGTTTGTGCGCGGGCACCGCAATACGGAATCGGATTTCCGTAAATTAACATCTGTTCATTTGTCTGGCTCGTCGCCCGCCGCCGCCGCCATCGGTACACTCGAACGGTGTATAATAATGATAATAATAATAATAATAATAATATAGGACTCGCCGTCGTAATACACGTATATGCCGTATAGATATTATTGTTTTTAAAATAATTGTATTCAGACACTCGTTATCATTATGTTTCAATCGACGAGATTTTTGTTTTTCACCCGAAAACCGTTAATTACTGTTACCACACAGATTTGATGATGTGGTTCAACGACGAATTAAATTTTCAATAGCAGCATAATTACTTCGTGTTGTGAAATTTGATAAACCTACCCATGCAATATATTATTTTAAATAATTAATCACGTAATTTACTCTTAAAAGCTAAATACTATAAATTGTAGTGACGTTAATAAACAAGTGTTTTAGTTATTAAAATAAATTGGATATTCAAACACCGGACGAATAAAATATTGAAAAAAAAAAAATAGTAAAAGCAGAGTAATATTACAATCGGTATTACAAGACGGCGCTCTGGGTAGGCTATTTAGGGTCATATTATTTTAATTTTTTTAAATATTATACCTTTATATTATTACTATCGCATTTAATTCGGTAAAAAGTATTGTACAATTTATAATTATTTTAATATTTTATTTTAACATAAGTTAAAATTATGTTTTTTTTTGGGGGGGGGGATTGAGGGAGTTAACATTAATATAATTTATGAACAAGCCTACTTGAAATTAATTAAGTTTAGTTTGGAGTAAAGGAGAGGCACTCCTTGAGCTTGATTATAGAGTCCAGTTAAACGGGAGAAGGTCTCAATGCCAGAGCCGTTTCCTGTTTAGTATTTCGGGAGGATTTATGGACATGTTTGTTAGAATATTTGGGTCGTTGAAGTGTGAGTATTGTGGTAACATGTGTATGATTTAATATCAGTTTCTAATACTTTATTCATTTTTATATCTAGGAGTAGTTTTTGATTTCAGGCTTAGTGTGGTGCCTTTATTTTATTAAACAAAACATTTTGTTTTGAGTTCGCTTATTCGTAATCTGTTCAGGTATGTTGTGTAGTAGTACACTCAAAATATACTATACAGCAGAGCGACTTCTACGGTTTTTTTTTTATTGAATTCTAACCGGATTCGCCACGCTGAAAAATTGTGACGACGAGAGTTGCAATTATATAGAAATGAGAGTCACAGTTTTCGGATATCAGAAAACCGCTCCAGGCACCGAATAAAATGAAAAAAACTCTTAGAGTTCCGTAGACCCTTATAATTTACTAATAGTTATACTGTAAATAAATTGTACAACTTCCATGGAAATAGTGGCTGCCGTATCCGATGCTTCATAATCGCATTACTTATGCGATATTATTTATAATCGAATTGATATTGAACACATCCATCACAGCCATACCTACTCAAAGACGAAGTGCACTCGAAATATGCTATACATCAGACTGACTTCTATACAGTTTTTTGTTTTATTGTTTAATTCTTACAGTGTTTGGAACCGCTGTGACGACGAGCGTCGCAATTATAATATAGAGATACTCTGGTCGTCGTTTTTGGACATCAGAAAACCGCTCCGGGACCGAATAAAAAAAACAACCCTTAGATTTCACGAGAACCCGTACACGTAGGTGCCCATATTATAGTATATAATATATAATATAATAACGTGATGCGTAATTATATGCACTCATGTACATAATAATAATAACATAATATCATAGTGAGCCCGTCGAGTGGTGTCTCACAGGGTGCGAGCAGAAAAGTAAATATTTATTACTTCGTATACACCCACTCATATTATTATCTTTTCGACGGGGCGTTCAGCGGATACGCGCGAGACGGAAAAAATGGGATTTTCTTTTTCTATCAAACGGTTGATTGGTGAAACACATTCCGAAAATCGTTTTCACTTAGACATCCTGTCAAATATATATACATACGTGCATGCGCATTATACACAGTGCGCTCGGTATAGGTAGGTACACATACTAATATAATATATCGAATCGTAAAACACACCCGCCGAACAATTTTTTTTTATTTTTTTTTGTCGGTATAACCGAGTGTGCGCACTTTGGTGGTGCTCTGGTATGCGTATACATGCATAATAATATTATTAACCGAAACGTATATTATATTATGTATATGATGTGTACATTGTTCGCCGTACGAAAATTGGATACGAAAAAAACATACATCTCTCATCCGGATTTCTATCGAAAATCCGCATCAAGCGCCGCCGTCTCGTTGCCACGCCTTGACGTGTATGGAAAAAAAATGATGTCGTCGGGCTCTGTCACAAAACAAAAACGAATCGTAGGTACTTCTACCTATTTCTCGTACAGCCCACATAATATAATACATTGTTGTGGGTATATCGTTGTATCGTAGCGCGTGATATATTATATTATGAAATCGTACGCCTACGGTTATATAAGAGCGACTTTTATAAATTATTTCAGAAAATGGAAAAAAATAAACAAATGAAATAATAGGTAATAATATACATTATTGTTATATACGCTTCCAGCGAAGTAGTTCGATCTCCACTCACACATCTTCCCTCAAAATAATAATAATATACATTATGAAAAAAAAACACCATTGTAAAACCACTAGCTTCATCGCTCCTCTTAGAATCTAAAAATATACTAGTTTCTATTATTAAAATTATAATCTGCAGAATGCAAATAAAGGCAACCATTTATAAATTTAAAAAAATTTAATTTCCTCTGTGAATCTCAAAATCCCAGCTTGTGTGTGTAGGGTGTACAGCATGCAATCTCGCAGTTTGTCGGCTCGGCTTAAGTATATTATATTATTATTACACAAAAATAAATCAAAAATTACAGTAGGTAGGCTTTGAATTCAGTGTTCTATTCAATGATAACAAAATATATGGTACAGTGGTCAGTAATACAGTATAATATAATAGTATTTAATATTATAATATAAACATTACAATTTAAATAAATGTATAAACATGATAAATATGATATGATAATATAACAAATAATCATTAAGTAAAGGTATACACATGGTATATAATATGATAATAAGTATTAAGTAAATAATAACAATATAACGTATGAGGGTATGACCTATGGTGAGTGGGGAAACTGGGGACGTTGGCATACAACTTCGGTGACGGACAACATACGGCGATTAGCCGAAGGCGGCGAACAAAGCACGTCGGCGACATAACGACCCGGTACCTACGCCAAAAACTGGTTGACCCGGCGTGGATGAGGTCGAACTTCGTGAATGTCATTCTAGGTCAACGAAACTGCGGCATAAACAAATTCGGCGTGCAGCGTTGACCATGGACTTCCAAACGAATCTTTTCGACCTCTTCCACACCGATCTAAGGAGATCAGACCGTACAGGATTTTGTAGAGTTTCATCAGCTGCCACCGGCGGAACTGACTTAACTGCACCGTACACGGGTGAACGAACGCTCAGCTCTACAGACGACTGGAAACTCGCTGTATGTTCTCGCCGCCGGCGTAACTGCAGTAGCCTGACAGCAGCGATCCTCCAATCGACGGCCAAGTGCAAAGCGTCAGTCAATGAAGGACTATAATGCCGCAGGGATCTTGGAGTTTCCACGTGGGCGTCTACCTCCAGAGTCATATGAACTGCAGGTGCAGGGACCGGTGGTGAGGTGATCTTTACTACCTGCAGGTGGTACACGGGCGAGTCGGTACAGAGCTCGGAGGACGATGACTGGAAACTCTTCGCATGTCCAAGCCGCGACGGAAACGAGACATCAGCGATCCTCCGATCGACGGCCAAGTCCAAAGAGTCAGTCAATGAAGGACTATAATGTCGCAGGGATCTTGGCTTTTCCACGTGGGCATCTACCTCCGGAGTCATATGAACTACAGGTGCAGGTACCGGTGGTGAGGTGATCTTTACTACCTGCAGGTGGTACACGGACGAGTCAGTGGTCAGCTCGGGTGACGACCGGAAACTGATTGTATGTCCTCAACTCGGCGGATACCAGACATCAGCGATCCTACGATCGACGGCCAAGTCTAGCCGGCCGATCAGAGAGCGAACTTCAATGGCACGATTAAACGACTGCACACATTTTGTAGATCCCAAGTACCTGGTGTCCATCTCTGTCATGAATACACGAAGACACGATAAATAGGAACAGCAAACAGAAAAGAAACAGTTTTTTTTTTTAGAAAATATTTCTAGGACTCACGGACGAGAGATAAACAAATTATAATAACAGATTTCGAATTATAAATTGTTACCAACAATATATTATTAATAATAGTGTCGTGATTTCTCTAGTTTGTATTGTGGCCAGCTATAGCTAGAAGCAAAGAAATACAAATGGCAGGTACAATTAAATCACAATTTTGATGAATAAAAACCTACGAATATTCTTAAAATAATACTGGTTTCGGAGCAATCAGAATCATATCACATTATGACATGATTTAGATTAAATTAAGTGTGCATTTCAAGTGTACATAATATCTATTTTTTTTACGTCAGATTATGAAATTATAAGAAGATTATGGGTAGTATTAATATTATATATTATGGGTTTAAAAATACGGTTTGAATAGTGACTTAACCACTAATTCACAATGGTGAACAAATAAACAAATTTTCGAAATTAAATGATAGAATTTTGAATTGTCTAAAAAAAACATTTTGAAAAAGTCAATATGATAATCTTCCTCTCCTTTAAACTGTATGTAACATAAAAAGTCGCTTTGAAACCAATTTACTAGTGAAACTGACATTTTTGAATTTTTATTTCATGCAAAAATGTCATTTATTGGTGCGGTAAACTATATATAGCTTAGTTTGGAATTCGCTCGGAAATCCTTTCACCGCAAAATTCAAAAGAAAAATACATATTGAAATGGTCGTCAACCAGAAACACCAAAACCTAAGTAAAAAAAAAATTAACAGTTTCAAACATTTTTTTTACCAACGAATATTCAATATTTTATCGGACACGTACAATAATTGCATTAATTGTCAATCACATTTTGGAAATTCAAATTAAGCTCCTTCTCTTTCAAAATCTATGCAACATAAGCTAACACATTTACAAATTGAATTTTTTCCAAATTTTTAGAAATGTGTGCTTGATGGTCGAACAAATTTTTATTAATTTTATTTTTATAATTTAATTCTTGGACGAATAGATGATATTTTTTAGAAGACCAAGGCACACATAACGAATTCTCGCGGCACCCAGTTTGAAAACCACTGCTCTGCACATTATCAATGATTAGGAACCGACCGACCGATAAGCACAATCACACATACACACACACACACACACATCATATTTAGTATTGCCTTTACTTTTGCATTACCTATCTAATTATTGTGTTGTGAATATTGGGTATATAATAATATATTAAGCAGATAACGACAGGTGCGTTATCGGTCGCCGCCTAAAACAAAAATCTACCCAGTCGTAAAAGTTGTGCTCACCGTTCAACCCTCAAGTGGGTACATTATAATTTTCTATTTCATTCAAAGTGTATAATATTAATTGTTAACCATTATTTTTTATTGTTTTTCTGAAGAGTCACAGAACCGCATATAATATTATTATAACGTCGCGAATCGCTATTTTATTATTTATTATTGTACGAGTAGTGGGCGCGATTCGCCTTTTATTAGTATGCGCATTATTTTAGTCATTTTTAAGTATTTTGTCAATATTTGAACTCTAAATGCTTATAAGAAAAATTGTGACTATCGATTTTTGATTTTTTTCATCTGTTTTTGAAAAAATATACTAGGAGACTTCTATTAAATTTTCAAGCTTTTTTAACCAACAAATAAAATTTTATTTATATTTATATTTTATAGAAAAAAAACTAAAAAAAATGGAAACTGAAAATGTCCGTAAACAGCTCATAGTATTTGGAAAATGTTATGGTGTATAGAAAATGCTAATATTCAGTCAAAATTTCATGTACCTACATGGTCATTTGTTTAAGAGTTGCACCAAAAACCAAAATTGATTTTCTCGAAAACAGATTTTGATTACAAATTCCCGTTTTTACCTAATTTTTTGTTTTAATACCTGCAGTCTACATCGAGAAGTCGAAATTGATTAAAAATTATTCGCAAACATTTCCTTGCTTTCTGTTTGAAAAAAACTCGTCGAAATAATTCAGGTTGGCTATAAAATGATTTTCCACTGGTAATATTCTCAAAGCATCTACATTTTATTGTCCATTTTTATCTTAATTTATAAGATGAAAATTATTTTTAACAGGAGCATCAGCTCCTAAATAAATTGGTGACAAGCATCGTCGAAAATAAAAAAATCACTAAACAGGATTATATAATGGATTCTAAAATGTATTCGATTCCATTGCACATATTTAATGAGTACCATACCATTGACCAGAAACTATCAGGGATGGGATCACAAGGATTCGTTGACATTTTTTTGGTAGAAGTCACAGTCTTCAGAATTAACCGACAATAATGTGACAAAACATTTTTATTCAAAACTATATCATCACGATCGCTAATGTGTATGGATTCATTCTTCGTTCGTTCTCTGCTATTCACTGCCAAACATATTTTATTAATTTATCTACTCATCTATTGCACATTTTATTATATTTATTATCAATTAATAAACTTATATAATATTATGCCAAAATATTAAATATAGTAATGTCAATTTTAGTTTTTTTTTTATAAATGTGTTCAATATATTTTCAAGGGTACAAAGTACTATATTAATATAGTTATATGATTGTAATCATGTTGTAAGGAGATAAACTGTAATATTTTGGACTAGTTATTTAGCTAAGACACCAAAGTTAGGTATAAGGTATAACGTCGCTATAACCTGTTATCTGTAAACAGGTACCCAAAGATTCAGTTCTGGGATTGGTCACGGCAATTGATGTATCTATAAATTGTCATTGTTCAACAGTTGAAACCCTATAGTTACAAGTGTTGTAGAATATATTATGGTGTTTAGTAAGTTCCCACACGAAACATAGCAGGTAAGCGGGTACATATGTAAGTTCCCTCCCGGAAAAAAATACACCCGTACGTAAGTTCCCACACGAACATTTATTCAGACTTAGGTATGAAAACTTAAACGTAGTTGGTCCCAATATATATTAAAAATAAATAATTTAATGTGTAGGTCCACTTATTATTTGTACTTTTGCAAGCGTTTGTAGTAAGACTTGTATCAGAACTGGCACTATCCCAAATACTAGGGGGGAAACTATATCAATAACAAAATATCAGATTATAACTTAAAAATAATTACACAGTATGACAATGTGAAGTGTTTGAGCTTTCGTAATAAGCCAAATAAAATTTAATTTTTTCTATTATTATTATTATAATTATTATAGGTAACTATTATTATTTTATACTTATACAAATAATATATGGACCATACCTACACATTTTATTATATATTTGGACTAGATTCAATTAAAAATTGATTGTAAATTTTTTATGCAACATAAAAACAAACAAATTTCAATCACATCAACTAAATTTAAGTCGTCAGTCCTAAGTCTAAATAAAGTGGGTAGGAAGCAGGGACTGGTACCTTTTAGTTTTTAGGGTTTCGGTTCCGGTTCCAGTACTTAATTATTTTATTAAGAGGTTCTGGTTCCGGTTCCGGTTTATGACAATTTTTTGTTTCAGGGTTCCGGTTCGGGTTCAGGTTCCAGTATGGAAAATTAAGTTTATAGTTTAAGTTAGGGTTAGAACAAGTATTAAACTAGTTAAAACAAGTATTAAACAATTACAAAAATTTATATATTTTATTTATTCTTTATGTTTTATATACCTATAGGTACATTATTTATTCTTTATGTTTTATATACCTATAGGTACATTAAAATATTTAAATAGAAGTAATTAAAGTAATCAAACATTAAAATTAAATATAAATACCAATAGATAATAGTTACTTAAATTGTTAGAATACTTAAAATAAATTAAAATAGAAATGCCAATAGCTATTATTAATTATTAACATAAAACATTATAAGTTCTAATATAGGTACCTACTAAATAAGACAGTCAATTTTTATTTTTTACTATCAAATAACTATCAAATAATCAATACTTATCATTATTTCACAAGAAATAAACAACGCTAAACAGAAATAAAAATAGTTTATCAAAACAAACGTATTTTAATCTGTGGTAAAAGCATTATGCCGATAAATTGAGCATAAGTTACGGTGGAAAAAATAAAATAATGTAACATTGAAAACCCGTTTTTAATTTAAAAATAAGGGTTCCGGTTCCGGTTCCTGTTATTTGAAAATATTGAAATTGGATTCCGGTTAGGTTCCGGTTCTCAATATTATAAGGGTTTTTGGGTTCCAGAACCGGTTCTTTTCGGTTCGGTTCCAGTCCCTGGTAGGAAGTTTGTATTCGGTGTAATTTTTTTTCCGTGTGGGAACTTACGTATGCATACCCGAGTGTTATTTTTACCTGCTATATCTCGTGTGGGAACTTACATTCGCCCCAAAATATAGGGTCGTACACTTCGTACTTCGTAAATAATTTACTATTAATTTTTATTCCCTTCGTTTGTCCCGGGTAAAGAGTTACATTTTTTTTTTTTTTTTTTTTTTTTAATCGTTGGCACTTAAACGTCTAAAGCGATTTGAATGAACACCACGCTGATCGATCGAATAGAAATCTCACGAAGACGTTATTGCATTATGCAAATACAGTCTTGACAACACGATTGTACCCACATGCGAAGTAGCTTGAAATATAATATAATAACGGGTGTACCTGCACGCCGAGAATGGGCCCGTTACACAATGGCAATTCACGGGGGAAACCAAGTGCCTTCGATTTTTTTTTTGGTGTGTGTGTGTGTGCAGATATTACTGATATCGAGATTTCTCTGATTCGAAATCGATGTTTGTATTATACTCTCCGAATAAATGTATTATTTAAATGTCCCGACCGTTTCCGTGTACAACGCAGTTGTAGTGGAATTCGTATTTTATATTATACATATAGATTAGAAAATATTATGTACATAGGCATATACATATACGATTAGAGAATATTATAATGTTGAGATTCATATTGCAGGTAGAGGCACGTGATGTTATTAT